GTGACGTCATTGACACCTTTTTGATCCGCGCCGCGTACGCGGGTGATGATGTGTGCGTAGCGCTGCTACTGGCTTTCGAAAACAAGGAGTTTGAAAACTCGGACAAGAAATTGTCGGTGTGATTACGCGCACGGTTACACCGATATCCATTGAATAACGGGTTGCTGTATTATAGCAACGATTCGACGGATACGCCACGAATTGTGGCTCCTCCCGATGAGAATTTCATATATAGTATCCTCTATGAGGCTCGTGGCACTTCACTCAGTGGTCATATCGGTTGTGAGAAGACGTACAGCTTTGTGATTTGCCACTACTGGTGGCCCAAGCTGATCAAATGGACGAGAACATATGTGCGCACGTTTGAGACATGTCAAAAGTTGAAACCGTGTACGAGTGCGGCGGCATCGTTGGCCAATTTACCGGTACCTTCCGGGTGTCAGTAGTCTCTGAGTATAGACTTCGTGTTCGGCCTGCCGTAAAACTCGGGGGCAACACGGGTGTGGTGGTCTTTGTGGACCCTTTGAGTAAGATGGATCACCGCACGGCAGTCCCGGACACCATCGACGCTGTTTGTCGATCGTGTCTTTCGACAACATGGACTCCCGGAGCCAATTGTCTCTGAGAAAAACCCGCGCTTTACTGGGAAGTTTTGCTCGACAATCTTCAGGGAGCTAAACACCAAATTGACTATGTCAACAGCGGGCCATCAGCAGACCGATGGTCAAACAGAAAGCGTGAATCGCGTCATTGAAATCATTCTTTGCAGCATCTGCGCTGCGACACCGAGGCGCTGGAGCGACATGCTGCCAGTCGTAGAGCTCGCTCTGAACAATTAGAACATGCGTCTATTGGCTACACGCCGTTCACGTGAACGGGTTCGTGAATCCTCGCGTCCCACTTACGCCGCCATCCCATGGATCAGGGCTTGGTGGGGGAGGAATAGCCGAGCGGCTACCTGTTCTCAGCCCCCTCACTATTTGTAAGGAATTCGATGACTTCCTATCTCCTGACTGAGTGTCTTACGACACGTACGCGATGCGATGGCTGAAAGCCAATACATGCAGAAAGAATATACAGACGGATGAAGCAGAAGAAACGTTGAAAACGTTGAGGTTGGAAACCTGATTTTTTGAATGCTAAACACCTTCTTACACATGCAGCTTCTGCGGTCCAAAAGACAAAACTACGTCCACGATTTATCTGGCCTTTGTTGGTCGCGACCAAGCGGGGCCTTGCGCATACGCTAAACCTTCCGAAACGGATGCGCACCAATCCAATGTTTTACGTGGGCTTGCTCAAATCGGGATCCGGTGCAAGTGAATGTAGAAGCGCTGGTGCTGGAGCAGCACCCACAGCCGCTCGCCCACCCAGGAGCTGGGTTTTGAGCACGGAGTGCTACGATCTCCATATTCAACGAAGACAGGCACTCCACCGTCGCTCGGAGCGATGCATTCGTCTGCTCGACGGCTAGGAGCCGGTTCGATAGAGCGCAATAGTCCTCAACGTGAGTCAGTCAGTGCACAAAGGGCTCCATGCCCTCTAGGTCTTCCGCGCAGCGGTTTGCGACCCTAACATCATGCTCTGCGGAGTCCCGATCGCAACGGACCTTGTCCTCAAGAGCTAAACGAGCATCGCGAGTCACAGAACGGTGATCGACCAAGTCGTCATCGTTTTCCGCCGAACCTTTTCGACGAAAACGGTGGTGTCCATTATCACGTGGAACGTCTTGTGGGTCGATGTCGTCGCCAGGGTCAAAACCAATGTTTTGTGAAGTGGCGGAGATGCCCCGACTTTGAGACCTCGAGGGAGTTTGAAAAACCACTTTAGCAAGACTACCCAGACGGCGTGGACGCTTATGATCAGAGTATAATGACGTTTGCGTCGATGTACGCCTCGCGCTTCTCGGCAATAGCCACTGAAGCCGAAGAACCCTGAGCTGATCTCAAGCGATGGATCTGAGCTGCTGTGATTGCAAACTCACCCGTGTGAGCGACCACAGAGTTCGCGGGAGCGTTGTAAATTAATCCATACGTCGTTGGGCGACAAATACGAAGGAAACCGCCGACGCGCCTTGCGTCTGGCAAACTCAAACCAAAGATGGCGTTCCACGCGCACGTCCATCTTTTGTGGCTGTACTTCTGTTTGTGCAGCGAGATATATTTCCGGTGCCGCTGCACCCATCACTTAAGGAACTCTTCCTCATCTGTAGCAATTTCTCCAAGCGAGCACGCAAGGATTCGTCCACAGTGCGGGTACAGGAGCAATTTTTCTTTGAACGCGAAGTCGAGCGCGGTACGTATCCAGGGAGATTTCTTGCGGAACCAAGAAGCGAGCTGGCAGAGCTTTTTGTTCGTCAAGCTCAGCTTGTGTAGCGGCCGGGGGGGCGATCGCGTAGCCGCCCAACGATTGAGCGATCGCGTCGCGTCGAATCTTCTGTAACGGGATCCGCCGAGCAGAAGCCGTCGGGGGTCAAGGACCGACCGTGGATGCGCTCGCATGGTAGACGCCCCGCGGACAGCATCCAGCTGCTGTCTCTGTGCCTCGTCAAGGTCACTGTTAATGATACCACTTCCTCTGGAAGTCTAGAGGTCAGGAAACGGGCACGATGTCCGCAAGGTTCGAGCAGGGCTCACGTCTCGCCGCTGGGGCACCTTGCCATTTTCTTCTATCTGGGAAAGGAGTATCCGGCTCGTAGTTGATTTCAAATCCTCGACGAGGTAATTCAACGCCTGTGGCGGGCGCGGTCGGGAATAGACGTCGCGTCTGTGTTCTTAATCATGCGACCCTGTCGCTGATATCGAGCTGCGCTTTCCTTGAATCCGCGAACGTGCTGCCCGAAGTCGTACCGCGTGCAGAAGACTAAAAAGGGTTCTGCCCGTAGGCGTTCTCGGAGCCAGCGAGGCTGGGTGTCTTCCGTGTCCTTGACACGGAACTCATTGAACAGAGAATGCGTGCAGAAGGTCCTGAGATGTAGAGGTGTCTTAGCCTCGCAAGACTCGTACGAGGCGACAATTAAATGTGAACTGTGGGTATTCAAAACTTTGATGGGGGGAGAGTAATAGGGTTTCACGTGCCCTGGTATGAAGAGTGTGGGTCACTCAAGATGGTGTGATCACACAAGAGTTGGGTTACGCAAGACGGTGTAATCACACAATGGTGTGGCTACACCTTAACATGAAGTCAGTACGTGAATGGACTGCCTGTAGTTATGCAATTTAACTGGGTTTTACTATTTGAGCAGGAAACCCTGTAGATGTAGATATAGGCTTTTTTGCCGCAAAAAACCAAAAAATACAGTTTGCATTTTGAACGGAAGAGTTTATTCGCCTTGGTTAAAGGTTGTGATTACTGTTGGAGTGAGCGAATTGCGATCCGCTACAGTCGTACTGGTTCTAAGTATAGATCGAAGTACACCGACCTTAACGAAGCTTCCGCTAAGCGAAAGAGCTACAGCAGCCCCGCTGCATATATGATCGGCAAGCCTATGAATTCTTAATTTTTATCATGCACACAAAAACAGTAACGGTGATGAGTTTGTCTTTGTCAACCCTAGCACGTTTAAGTGTCACTTCCTTCTAGTACCTCTCCATCATCTGCACTACCCCTTGGCGTAAGTATCGCTTATGTCTTCTCTTGTTCGCTCCACTTCTGAATGAAACATTAATAATCTCCTTGACGTGTATGAAGCGATGGACAATACTCTGCTTGATCGCTTGAACGCGTTTCAATATAATGCTCGAAAGGCACCAGCTACTGTATGCTGACAACTAGTGAATTATCGACATCATCTATTTCGACGTCTCGGACTGGGGCTTTGACAATTTCTTCTTGTACTGACAATTAATTCACTTGGATTCGCACGAAATCATCATCGCTGTCGTAGATAGCTTTGATGGTCGCTTTCGTTTCGTGCTTGATCATCAGGGCTTCTTTGGTTCAGCTATGTGTCTTGACTAAAGCATCCTATAATATGGCTGTACCATGCGGGCATGCCTAATCTTCCACGTAGTGTCAGCCTTGGAGTACTCTACGTAACTTGCAAAATCCGGCTTATGGTCTAGCATGCACGCTTTATCGTTTTGATAAGACAATAAAGTTGCTTTTTCTTTGTTTAAGATGACAAACGACAACGCAAAAAACTTCACACTCACACTGTGTTGTGCAAGCTTGTCAACAACCAACAATCTTTTGTCAAGTCCTGGGATTTATAAAGGTTATTCATGGTAATCTTTTTTTTACCCAAGCCAGTCAATTTCACGGTGTACTTGTCTACTTTTTGCATCTGCAATCGTCGAGACATCCGCCTTTCTGAGAAAAGCACCACCTTATCACACATCGCCTCGTTTACCTGTATATCTTTCAGCGTTTCCCGTTTTTTTTTCTTCTTTCTGTGCAGCCTACATGATTTCTTAGTTTGATTCTCTTTGGTTTTAATCAATTTAATGTACTACGCATTCCCACGAACGATGAGTTCAATCGTATTCTAGCGTCAGACTGCTGGAAAGCGCCATCAGCTGGCGTGACTCATCGACTAGCTCTCCATTATCGGAGCCCCACAACTAGTTTGTCAAAAGGTTCTAGATGATTCGCCATTCTAGTACCACATTCCATTTAAAATCTTGAAGTTGATGCGTTGCGCTATAGCCGAAATTGCGTACCGCTCATCATGTCTTCTCACTCGCGGCCAACCTAAGCTTGCTCTGATGTTGATTTTCATCGCCTTGCGAAATGATTCCCAAAGCATTGGCGTCGTTCATAAATCACGTCTCTGTTATGTTGTTCTCATGCTTGACGGCCGAGACGGGGCCCAGAGTATATTGATCACCCAGTGGTAATAGTAAATACTACTCAGGAGGACTGCGGTGCGCTTGTTTGTCAGACGCTGCAGTGAAGGCAATCCTTTGCATAATTTCCAAATGAGTCATACCGAAATCACATAAATAATTTCTGTGAGCGAATAAACCGAAAAATAAATCTATAAAAATTTTACGAGTAGATTAAGACGCAAAGAAGACCCAGAAGCTACCAGGCGTTGACAGCTCCTCTTTCGCCTGGCCGCTTTTAAAGAGCTCCGTAAGTTCTTCGTGGCTCATTGTTGTTTGATCCCGGATGTGATTCTGCGTTGCAATTCGTTCTCCTTCTCTTGCTATAGAAATAGAAATCGCTTCATTATGATCCACTTCTATCCCTGTTCCACTAGCTGATGCAGGTTCCAGTGTCTTCACAATCTCTTTGGGCTTCTTCAACCTTGAATTTATTTGCAGCTGCGAACATGTGTCCACAACGACACCTTTAATTTTCATCAATTCACTTCGAAGCGCCTGTAGTTCCGAATTTCGGGTGGACATTGTGGTGAATGTGTTCACCTTTGTCCAGTGGGTCGCCTTTCGTGCTGCTAAATACTTAGCAACGCGCGCTCCAACTAGCATCGCAATTTGATTATACTGAATTTGTTGGTCTTTGATGACAGCTAAAAGTGCCGCCACCCGCAAATTTCTGCGCTTCCGCCGCTGCGTCTTGTCGCACTCGTGCCGGAGTAGCAACTGCTGTGTATTTCGTGTCTTGAGCTGCACGGAGGAGTAGCTTAGCAGTAATAGCAGCAACGTCACAAAGCCATACTTTTTAAATACAAGCGACAAGAGCTTCACCAGCGACCCAAAATTAAAAAATGACGTTTCTAAAGTCGTCAGATGTTCAGAAGTGCGCTGCGCAAGTTGTGACAGACCATTGTACCGCTCCACGCTTTTCAGGCACTTTGTGATATCCTCCGGTGATAAGCCTTTCTTTTCCAAAAAATCTACACGCTGAGCAAGTGACAACGTACGCACTGTCGGGTGCAACAGAAAATCCTCACACTTTTTTAGCAGGTTTACGTCCCGATGATCCGCCATATAGACAACTGACTTTTAAAAAAGAAAATAGTACTGTGTACCCTCAATTCAAGCCTGACCATTGGTAATACTGACGTTACAAAGTTAATGCTAGCGAATATGGAAGTTTGTGTCAAAGTACATCCACGAGGAATCTTTCCATTGCCTTCTAAAGATTGCAAATCAGTCTGTGAGATTAACACGAAACGATCACGAGACGCAGTACAGAGTGGTGGCTCTGTGGAACTCGACAAAGTACTCAAAGACACGCCAGACCGCACATCGAGTGAAGATGAACAACAGCATCGCACAGATTCTGGCATTATTCAAGCAGATGATGGTCGGTCCTCGATGGTGCCGGTGAAGGTGATGGCAACGACATCGTTGGTGGCACCAAGCGATTACGTGAGCAGTCGACAAAGCAACGGATCAAGCGCAGCTCAAGTGATGGAGGAGGAAGAAAGTGCTCGACAGAGATCCAAGATGGGATCTTCAATTACAACAATGAAGTCAAATCTAACAACATCTAAGCTAGTCAAGAAGTTGACTTCAGAATCCCGACCCGACGAGAGGAGAAGGAAACGAAAGATAAATGACACGACTTCGTCTGTCATCTCACAGACGTCGGCAAGAATGCTATTCCAGTGTTCTTCTAAGCTGCTAAAGTCACAAGCACTGGACTACGATGTGCGTGCACGCGAGACGGCGGAGCGAAATGCGATGCTGGCAAAAGAAATTAAGGAATGGGAGACCAAAGTTTGCAATCTGAAGTGTAAACTTCAGGAGTACGCCGACGAGCTGTCGCCAAACGAGCTGAATGATATGACTGTGGTTAAGTCAGATGCTGCTGTATCCAGTGGAAACGCAAAAGCGTCGACAGCAATTACGTCTGTTGCGGATCCTGAAACATTTGAGTCTTCATTGCCCACTGCAGTTGTCGTAACCGAGGCAAAAGTTCGAGAAGAGCTGCAAATGCGATCACAGAAGTTGGAAATGTTTCGCAGCAGCTTGCCTGGCTTCATAGATGATGAAGCTTGAGGTCTATTTACTATACTCTTATACTTTTTGATCAACATATCAGGCTGCGTATATCACTGGGATAATCTAACACAATTTTTTAATCAGAGATTTTTAAGATGGCCATTTGACTACTTTGCCACAAGTGCCAATTTCAATATAATCTCATGACTACTTATACTGTTTCTGGCACCTCATGCCTTAATATTTGGATGTCCATGACTCTCATGTATGCTGTGCTCGCTTAAATGACCGAAATGGAGACTGATCTACCTAGCTCTTTCGAAGCACGTAAAACAGTTGACTTCTTTAGCCATATCCACCGATCTGAGACTTAACCATCTCGAACCATGGCCAAATTGTAATGACTTCTGGAGTTGCGATTCTCGATGATGACGCCATCGGCTAGACTGACTGTTTTTTATTCATTTTCTTTGATAGCAAAATTTTATGGTCAGGAAGTGGTGCGTGAAGTTCTTAACGCGCCAGAGCTGCTAGTATCTCCGTGAATAAAACTTAATTGACAAAATATATGCCATCGACACACCATCCATAAAAAACTTAGATTTTGTATGACGTCCTGGTCAACGGCTCTCTATGGCGCCACGAAACTAAACTAGCTATGAACAGATTCAAGCAGGCTTGGGCAATTTCCCGGTGATAACAGGTACGTCCCGGTTAAGCACTTCATAGAATAGTCAGTTGGGCAACGGATTTTGCTACAGTTGAATGCGCTTTTGTGACGTCAAGGTCAAAATAATTCGCGGATTTCTCGTACTAATAAATTTATAAAGCCAACCGTCTTCTTTCAAAGAAGTACTTGCCCCTAACTGCAATGGCGTGGGGTAAGAATCGTCGTCAATTGTCCGCTAATTCACGTTCGTTGTCTTCCGCTGGCCGCAGCATTCGTCGACCACCCGATCAACATTTGGAGCAAAAATATGCACAGAGCATTAACCAAAGCAAAGTGCATGTGCGAGTGGTGGTCCAACTGGAAAGGAAAGAAGACGAAGACAAGTCATTGAATCACTATTTAATAGCGTTCCAAAATCAGTTTCATGCACGCCGAGAAATTGGTTTAACAAATTCTTGGGACATCTGCGTGGAAGTGCTAGAGTGTGGTCTGAATACGTGGCAGAATATGGTGGAGCTACAACGTTTGCTTTTGACAGTTGAGAAACCGATACAGCTTCGAGAACAGCAATTGTCGGCTAAAACAATGTTACGTCGTAATCACGAGTCAAATAAGTGGACGTTGAGCTTAACTTTTGCTGAATTGGCTGAGGATACGCTTTGGAAGTTCGCAAATAGCTTGATGCTAAGGCTTAAGAGTTGTGGAATATTGTCGAAAGTACTACTTCCAACAAAACGATTGGAGTTGCACCTATTATCAGCAACTGCGGAGAATATGGAGTTAGCAATGGATGAATATCAGTGGGAAGGAAAGCAAGTGGCAAGTCAAATTGTCGTTCAAGTGGGTAGAGAAGAAACACTGGAGATGCAGCGGATTCTCTTGCCACCTGCTTGCACGGCGTCTCAAACAAAATTGCAAAACCCTGATGTAGTTGCTGTGGTGGATGGTGTGTTGAGTAGCGAGAATAGTACGATAAGACCAGTTGTGGTGATTTTACGTGGTATCCCAGGGAGTGGAAAGAGTACGCTCAGACAAGAATTTGAGTGCATGTGTCATGATCGAGAATTTAATTTCGTAGCGTGTTCAGCCGATTCTTACTTTGATACCTCGCGTGGATATGTTTTTGATGTGAAAAAATTGGGAGCAGCCCACAATGCGTGTAAACAAAAATTTCGAAAAGCTCTTCGAGAAAATGTTTCGCAAAATCACGAGCAACCTTTTCACAAACACCTTGTCCTTGTTGATAACACTAATACTCAACGATGGGAATACGAAGAATATGTAACTTTTGCCACGTCCAATGGATATCGGGTTGAGATTATCGAAATTACGTGTAAAGACATCTTGATGGCATTTCGAATGGGGCAACGCAATTCACACGGTGTGTCCACGGACAAAGTGATCGGCATGTTTATGCGATGGGAGATAGACGCGCGTGCACGCTGCTACAATCCGCATTTTGATCAAATAGAACTCGCCGAAAACCCGCTTTCGAATGGTGAAGCTGGTAAAGTATTGTATATCTGTCTATCTCTGAACGACACGGCTAAACAAAAGCTACTGAAACGTGTGCGTCTGGCTCACGCACACATATGTGCCGACCATGTCACTTTGTTCTATCAACCGAATAAATTATACACGAGACTGGTCGAGCTTGGCGCTTCCTTTACTATCCGTGGAGTCGAAGTTGTACAGGATAATAATGGTCAAGCACTTCGTGTGGAGTTAGATGAACAGCTTTTGTTACCGGTAAGAAACAAGATACCGCACATCACATTGTCACTTGCAGGTAGAACAAGTGCATCATATTCAAATAATCTTTTAATGAGTACATCAGCAAAGCGAATGACACTTGACCCACCGATTGAAATGACGGCTTGTCTTGCAGCTGTTTTTTATATTCAAAACGAGCCTGTGATTGTTAGATCGTCACCATTTGTGGAAGAAAAGTTTCTTAGAAGATGTTTTGATTCGAATAAGTCTAGTACCAACCAAGACATAGTGCCGAGCAATCGTGTATGTTTGCCGTCAAAAATATTTGCTGTGTACATCGATGAAAGTGATTTAATTAGAGAGCCTGACCAAGTTTCTGCCAGTCTTTCGTGGACAATTCCGATCATTCATCACAAGGGCTCGCATTGCAATACACACAGGTTGCTATGTATTCAAAGGTCTGACATATCGTCTCCAACACCTGTTGCAACGCTACTGAAAAAATTTCAATGTCGCTTTTTGTATTTGTCAGCGCTAGACTTTGATGATTTAATTGTGCTTGCCCAACCTCCTTTGTCTCCAACGTTTGATATGGCACTACAAGAATACGTATCTGAAGGTGGCTTGAATAACATTAACGAGTTTATTCTGATAACTTTAGCGGGAAAATCCGTGCATTGGTCCATATCTTCAGTGGAATCTCTTCGAAGTGCTGTGATAAGTGTTATTACTCGAGACTCGAGATCTCATGCCAGTGCGATTCAGTCTATCCCAGCCTATCATGATATGCTTTCGGCACTGGATCTACTGGATATCACCAATCAAGAAAATGTCCGAAGTACAAGTGTCCGTGGTTTGGGCGTTTTGAAAGAAGCTTGGCAATTTGTTTATGGGGCACACAGTCCTCCAGCGATACAACGGATCGACACCACACTTGTGGCACTGCGATCAAGTGTTGTTGAGCTGTTAATATTGCTGCCAGATTTTAAGGCGATGAGCAATATGGAAATACTCAAAACAAAATTGGTGAGTGTGCTTAAAGGTATGCAGTGTGTACACAATGTTATATCATGCTCGTCCGATCAAATTTACTTCAGTCTGTGTGGTGAAACCAGCGACAGCACCTGCTTTTGCGTCCGGCTGGGAATACGGCAAGAAAATGCGGACTCAAATATTACAAATGCTTGCTTGCAGTCGAGTATTTGCGACAACCAATTTCAAATGAGCCGTAATATTTGTGATGTTGAAGCGTACAGTGTACTGGTTAGTTTTTTACGTGCAATAATTGTAAACCGTTGTGGTGACAAACTACCGAGCGAGTGTCGTCTGTCTTCGTTGATAAATCTTACCAGCGAACGTCTAGTCGCTTGTTATCTCAACAGTACTGAAGGATTGGTCGAAATGCCGTCTGCGAACGATATTGAATCCGGCCGCATTCTTCTCACCCTACGAGACATGCTAATTTACATGTCCAAAATAGATATTGAAGATTGGGATACTGCATTTGGAGACGCGCTTCTCGCACTTCAGGGTTACAAAAAAGCTCAAGCGATATGGAAGAAAGCGATGCGAGAAACGATGCTATGCTGCGAGACCATTCTGTCCTCATTACACTGCGGAAAGGGCAATTTGTGGAATACTCAGTTTACCCCCCAAAATTTGTTTCAAATCGTGGTTGCGCTGTTAAAAACTGAGTATTCGATATCCGTTTATGACTCACTTACGCACAGAAATATTGAAGTGTGCACCCTTTCTGAGTGGAGTCACTTGCATTCGCTTGCCCTTTGCGATGCACTAAAACTGACAGCTTCGATGGTGGTGTCTGACAATAATGATGAGCGCAATGGCAACATTTGGAACCTCTTTGTTTGTACACCAAGTTTGGTTATCCGTCAAGTAAACGTGACGACCTCGTCGATTGATTTGCTTCACAATGTCGTCGAAAACTTTCAACCTTTTAAATTTGGTTTTGAACACAATATTGAGATGTGTGTTGGTGAGAGCACACAAGGTGGCAAGGCACAAGATGTTAAGGAATGAAAATATTCAATCAAAGAAGTGGATCGTTTTGACGGTTACTGACTCCGTAGTTGTTAAGAAAATGCTGAATGTGAAGTTTGATAGCTTCAAAAAATGTCTTGAGAGATCATAAATCGCTTACCGTCTTCTCTTCTCCTGGACTCAAACATAGTGCCAGCATCCATTTCAAAGAGCTGTATGTAAACATGGATGTTCATCCGAAGCAATAGTTGATAGTTTTCTATCATGTAAATTATATGTAATTATACATACGTAAGCTGACTTGAATTTAACGATAGCGTTAAAGGACCTCCTCTCATTGATAAACGTAGGTCAATTTTCATTTGACAAATGTTGCATATTAAAGCGTTTGATTGTCGAATTAGACGGTTACTGTCAGATTGCATAATATCAAGCGTGATGTTTGAAGCCATACGAAAAAGGTAAAGTATGATTTCTTAAGACATTATCTCTATACTTCAAGCCTGAAAGATGATACGTACCAAATTTGTTCTCATCAATATCGATACATATATATACATAGCGGTGAAGTAGGTTGATATAGTAAGAACTTAACTATATTCAGAACCTAAGACGTTGATGTTCGGACTAAAACATGTCATGCCTTTGTTGTCATGCCAATGTAATATCTAAGGTATTATATTGATTACCGAGTCGTGACCGCCCTACAGAGAAAACAGTCCTCTAACTGTCTGTCAGATGCAATCGACGAGACGAAAGATCATATAATGATCTTGATTGACTGTCAACTACTCTTTCGATGCAAGGAGTAACATCTAAAGCTGATTGAACTCCAAGAGTACTCAAAAGTTCTCCGAAACGATGCGCATACGTACGTCTGCAGAGCAATAATTTCGAGGCATCACTTAGAATCTCAGAAGCATGAACGGAAGAATGACGTTATCGAGATAGCTCGAATATTTCCCGACGTTTATGGAAATGGACCCAACAACATTGAGCTGTTTCTTGAATTTTCCTGAAATTTTTATTTCTTGAATCATAGAAGCTCCAAGAAAAAAGATAAAATGAGGGGCTTGAGATGTCGTTGTCTAACAATCGTGGAAAGGAAATGCTTAAGTAGAAGTTACATGCGGCTGGTTTTTTTTGGGGGCACTTCGAGTCATAATTATTGACAGACTTGCTTTGTCAACCAACAGGTACATAATACGTAACCGTATTGGATGACAAACATGTACTGACATTGTGAAAAACTCTCGCCAATTTCAAGACAAAAATTCCTAGGAAAATTGTTCTTTTTGTCAACCAAACAATCTCTCTCAATGACGGAGGCTCCAACTGCTGTGCAGCCCCAGACGGCCGCGAATACCAAATTTTATATGAAGAATGCTATCTTTTCTATGGTCTCATTGTATTTAGCTCACCAGTTTGCTAGTTATCTTTCGAATCGTGAGGAACCTATCGTTTGTGATCGACACGTCAATGACCAGACATGGTTTAGCGAGAGACGCTACGAGTCCCTACGCTTCTTTGACCCTTCAAAAACTCATCATGAAACGCAATATGTGTCTATGCGCGACAGTGTCGACTTGGCAGTCGATTTTTATCTGGCTGATCATCTTTGGGACAAGCAGGAAAAGGTGCCCACTGTGCTCTTTCCCACTCGTCATGGCCGTGGCTATACCTTAAACTTTCCTTTTAACATTTTCACTCGTTACAAGCGCAAGTTTACGAATCCTCGGGTCAATGCGTACGTGCAGCGCTTTGTGACCAATGGATATGCGTGGGTATCCGTAGACATACGAGGCACTGGCGCTTCCGCGGGCTCTAAAGTGTTTGATTTCGCTGATGCTGAAGTGCAAGATGGCTATGATATGATTGAATGGATCATAAGACAATCATGGAGCAATGGTGAAGTTGCAGTTTTTGGCCAAGGTCTAGATGGCGTAGGCGCTCTTCTCGTAGCGGCCAGTGGCCATCCAGCTTTAAAAGCGGTCTCGGTGAACAGTGCTCCTATTGATGTTTTCCAAGCTGCTCTGTTTCCGGGAGGTGTAAAAAATTTGAAGGCATTAAACGACTGGGCTTCATTCACGGGCGCCACGGATCGTCAAATTCGTTGGGACCATATTCCAACTTTTAAAGCACGACTAATGCTAAAACATTTCGGAGGTGAAGTGTATCGCGTGGATGACAATGATTCGAAGTTCAATCAATATATACACCAGCATATGACCAATCCGGATCTTTCGAGAGAATTGCAGCATGTGCGATTTCGAAATGATAAATTCGCATCAATCAATGTTACCATGGAACAAATGGACGCAACTCGTCACCTCGCCACCATTGCTGCTTCGGGTGTTGCAATACAGACGTCTGCTGGTTTCTTTGACATGGGTGTGGCTCGCTCCAGCATTTTGCTCTTCCAGTACCTGACGAATACTCTGGATGCTGGCACAGCTTCACTATTGCCTGAACTACCAAAGGAGGCAGTGAGAAAAATTCAGAAGGACGCTACTTATCATCGACTCACGCTTGGACCGTGGAGTCATGCTGGTGTAGATAACGCCGATCCGTTTGCTCAATCAAAACAAAAGTGTTTTTACCATTTGGACGAAGTTAGCCGATTCTTTGATTATCACATGTATGCCAACCGTCGCAAGATCACGAAGATTGACGAGGAATTACCTGTGCACTACTTCACGATGGCGCACAACCGATGGAAAGAGTCAAAGTCGTGGCCACCGGCGTATTTGCGGAACGAGACGCTCTACCTCGGCGCTAACAAGTTGTTCAAGCCAGAAGTTGAGACAAAGATGGGCAAGGTAAGCCAAAATGTCACCACAAAGCCCACGCTGGACACTGTTACTCGCTGGAGTATGCTGGACCATCTCTTTGGCTTACGCCCAATGTACTACCACGACCGCACAACTTTGGCTTACCAGTATTTGACGTTATTCACGTCTGAATTGCCGCTTACAGAGATCACCGGTGAGGCAGAACTTCGTCTATTCTTTTCAGTCGATCAACGTAATGTGAGTCTCGTGGCCTACCTCGAGGATGTTGACCACACGTCTCACTTTCCGAATGAAAACAAACGTCCAGGCGTTACGTACATGACGGAGGCTTTGGTGAATCCGTTGCACAAGACAATTCACCCAGACTCAAGTGTTTATTCCTATAAGCGTGCCGATTCACGTGAGATTGTACCTGGCCAAGTGTACGAAGCTGTTTTTCGCTTTGAGCCCACATCTTATGTGGTCAAGCGGGATCACCAGATCCGTGTATCTGTGGGAGTCGCTACTCCACCCGACTTTGCTTCACACGGCGTGAAGGAAGCCACGAAGCTCACGATTTACTCTGGAGTTAAATATCCGACAAAACTCATTTTGCCGTCGTATACAGGTCTTTACGATGCCAACGTTGTACCACGCACTGAAGAACTGGATGACTTAAATATGATAGTAACACCGGATACTGTGGATACAGAGAACTATTTCGACGAAGCTGCTGATACAAATGTCGAATTGTAGTAACATTTTAATCACAACATGTACTTTACAAAGTTAATCCTTCCAAGTATTATGATGGCTGAACGGACCCTCTGTTTTCCCAAGTTGTTAAATGCATGCCGACACTTAACTGCTTTTCTTGGCCAAGCCCGATGCAAAATTGCCAAAAACGAGCTTAAAAAATAGCAGCAAGTAAGCAGCAGCTACGGAAATTGCTACTTTTGGCTGGACAGCATCACCCAGATGCGTGATACCCCAGCTACCGCTGTACACGCCTAGAATGACACTAACACCTAGATTTGATAAACGTTGTTAATTGAGCATTTTTGAGGCATAAAATGAAAGTGAATGGCACACACACCTCCGCACAAGAATGCAACCATTCCCCCGATACGATGACCTACATTCTTCCATTGCCAGCTCGTCTTCGTACCGCCAAAGGTAGTAGCGAGGCCCTATCCAAGAGCATCTCATAGCATATGTAAAGCAAATTGGAATATGATCAATCAAATTCTCTTACCCCCAGCATGTTCAGTACGGTCACTGTGGTTGTCACGACTGCAAGCCATGAGTGTGTCGACGTAAAATGGTTTTTGCCATTTATACTTTTAGTCAAGAAAGCTGCCGCACCACCGGTACTTAACAGAATCATCGCAAGTACTTGCGACCCCATATGTACCTTGGATAAAAGAATTCTGGATCCAGCAAAAGCATTAGGATTTAATCTTCATAATGTCATGTCATCGAGTCGCCAAACCGCGTTTTATAATCTGTCACGATCTTGCGCTCCAGCATCGTGTAAATACCAAGTGGAAAGCAGAGTAGAAAGGCAATCGCGTTGGCGGCCGGATGTACAGCAAACAAAGATGGTGACGCAACGCATTTAGATAGAATTGTGACACAGGGGCCTGCTAGCAGGACGCTAAGCACCAGCAATTCCAGTTTCTGGACCATATTGCACGATAGATATGAATTCGATAGTACTAGTGTAGATTTAACATTATATAGCAATTACTATTCCAAAGCTCCGTGGCAGCTTTAAGCCATCTTAGCCATTTTTAGCTGCTCTATACCCTTTCGGCGCTGCAGCTTCAAAGCTTTATACAGCAGTGTCACGTGCGCTGCGATAATGAGCATGGTGAGCTGAAACTGTAGTGTCGACGAGAGATTCTGAACGCCCCATGAGCTTGTGTGCAGACCGTAAAGCATGGTGAGCACACTACCAACGTAAATCAACACACCTGTAAGTGCGTGAGTATCATCGCTCCACTGCCAATTCGTCTTGGTCAAATGTCAATAGTAGCCCTTGAAACATGTTAAGCGAGAAGAACATACCAGTTACCACAGCCGCCCACGAGTGCGGCGTTGCCAAATGCTCGTTCCCCGTGTCATGCTTGGTGATAAACGCAACAATGCCTGCAGCACTCATCAAGACTCCAGCGGACACATTTAGGAACAAATGGAGCTTGGTCAGCCAGACACTGAAGAACAACCGTAACACATCAAAAATGATTATGTTTTAATGCGAAAGAAAGCAATCCCCACCGGGTCAGATGATTCGTTTCGTACTTGCGCTGAAGCATGACTTGTAACGCACTATGAATGAAATTCGTAGGACCCATGAGTAAGAAATATCACTTTTTTCAGATTCTTATCATGGTGTTGTCTGTACCTGGGAAAGCAAACAAGCATTGCCACCGCGTTTAGTAGCGGGTGCAGAGAGAACAGAGATCCGTCTGCTATGCAGCGCTTTATGATAATGCCGCACGGCAGCAAAAACAGCGCCGCGGTCAGTGCCAGGTCGCCCATTCTCGAAATTATTACCAATGTAAGTATATAATCATTTTCAGAAAAAAGTTTAAAAATTATGCGTAAAGTACAGTTACTATTTCTTGATACTCACATGCAAATGTCATGTTGATCCTGTTCAGCAAAGGACATCTAGCACATACCTGTTCTTACTGAGATTGTCGGGAGATCGCGATGCAACTGAGCTAAGTTGGAAGTTTTTGGTATGAATGGGAAAGCCAGCATACGTGTAGGCGATGTAAGCCAGATCCCCGTGGGCCTTTACGGATGCGTCAAGTCGACAATGTTAATGCTTAGATTTTGACTAGGTTTCGCTGTTGAGACCAATCGAATAAGGTGTAGACATTAGGACCAAATAGATCAGGCGCAGGCGCGTGCGTGTAGGACCGTGTGTCTTTACTGTTAACGTGTAGTGTGCATGTAGAATCCAGCTAACACTCCTTTGATATATTTCTCACTTTCACTTCTACCTTCTTCAGCACAAGTGCCCAACCAATACGTTATGAGCCCAACGGACAACGCAGCTACGGAGGCGGCCCCCGCCTCCTCCCTTGCTCACGAAAGGGGGGGGGGGTTCTACAGGAAT